CGACTGCTGCGGCTTCAATGCCACCAGCAGCATCAACCTTCCGACCTCTCCCTTGGCTCCGACAGATGAACCCTCTTGCGAGCTGGTCAACAGAAAGTGCTGCGAACAGTCGAACGATGTTGATTGCCATTGCCCGGCCTGCGGTCCCATGCTCGAGGACAAGATTGACTATGCCTTCAAGCTGTGCGGCGGTCTGGGCATCTTCTTCAGCTTCACCGAGGTGCGTACATAGAAATGGAACTAATCTTTGTAATCTGTGTAACTCCTTCATCCGTCCATCCACATGCTGCCTTTAGTTTGTGGGCGTCTGGCTAACCGTGCGCTATCGCAATCAAAAGGATCCGCGCGGCTTGCCCAGCGCCTTTCTCTAAATTTTCACCTAAATCAGAAAAGAACGATTAATCCCCGACATAGCAACAGGCAAAGTTATATAGATTTATGTGTGTGTATCTCTGTCTCTGTGTATTTCTCTTTCTGCTAAATGTTGCTATCGATGTGGGGAAGAATTTCATCGGTCATAGACCAGAAGAGAGCTCTTTGGGTCTGCATACATCTTATATATTTATACCATCTACAGATACATACATACATACATATATATAGAGATATATAATCGCATTACAGCATAAATACATATGTACGTAATGTGTTAGGTCGTAATTGATATACAACTTTAGACATATATACACTCATACAGATATAGTGTTATATATATATATATATACATACATATATAGAGAAGGAGAGAGCCAGGTGTTTAATCCATATAAAGCAATCAACAATCCCTTTCTTTACCCTGCATTCTAACACTCTTTAACTAACTAAAAACCAACTGCCGGGCTCTTTGACTAAGCCTAATCGACCAGAGGCCAAGGGTGAGACATGTTTGCGCATTTTTGTGTCTTCATTTTCCTTAGTTTTTCTTATGCAAACCTCTTTTAATGATCGCCAACTAAATTATCTTTTTGTTTTCCCCTCAGGTCTTGGCGGTATTCCTGGCGCGTCGCTATCGCAATCAACATGATCCCTGCTATCTACCTGCCCGAGCCGTCTTTCCACATAACTATCTGTACTGATCGGCCCATGGATCGCATGGTTAAGGATTGAATAATTTGGATAAAGGAACGGTACATGGATGGTGCATTTTTAGTCAAAGGGACGAAGGCTGAATATTCTTATTTGTACAACACACACGCGTACGTTTCCTAGCAAGAATCGAATACCAGACTCGAACAAAAGAGATTACTCGATGGCAGCCGAGAGAGTGCTCAATGCTGCTGCTTCTGCTGCTACTGCTAAATTTTAAATAAATTTTATTGTATATTTATAGTTTACTTGAATTGCACAAAGATGGAGGCGGCATATATATGTATATGTATGTACGCCCCACAATGAGATTATGTTTAGCTGTAATGTTTTACCTTAAGTTAAGTTGTGCTGTTTTTCACACCACTGTTAGCTACATATTTTGAAAGCCTTTCTTTGCAACTCGCAACAATCATGAATGACTCAACTGCTGTACCACGAGAGAAACTACGACAAGAAAAACATTTCGGAAACCTGATCTTCAAGTAGAATCTAACAACCAAGTCAACAATTGTAACTAGCAACTTAGTAAGCAACTAAAACTAAAACTAAACCTAGACATAACGTAACACATCAACCTATATACATACAAAACGTGTTTGCATATTCAACAATACTCTAAATGTTAGTTGTGTGTTAATGATCCAAAAGAACAAAAACAAAACCAAAAAAAAAAAAAAAAGTAACCCAACTACAAAATATACATGTCAACAATTATACAACTCTCTAAAAGATAGACAACCTCCTAACACACAGCTCTTTTCCACAGTTTTTACTCTGTTTACTCCGCACTAGCTCGACTTTCTCTGCCACTTTTCTCCATCTCTCTATCTATCTCTCACTCTCAATTTACAGAACAAACACACATCACACCACGCTTCCTACATACCCCACAACATATGGAAATAGTTTTCCCTTGTTTCCGCGTTTCCAGTTTCGTTTCCTTTCGAGCGACAAATAAACCATTAGATAATATTCTCTGTATTCTGTGCTGTGATTGAAGTAAATATGATCTTTAAAACAACAAAAACTTGAATCAAGTTTTGAGTTTCATTTCCCCGCCGGTTCCTTAATAAGCAAAGTCCTCCTTCAGGCCTCCCAAGGGAGCAGCGAACTACCATCATTAGCAAAGTGTCTCCGCTTACACACAAAACTGTCGCCTGTCGCAAAAGTGTCAGACAGTGGAACGAAACCGCTGGTGGCTGGTGCAAGTGTTGGTATATGTAGTTGGTGTGTTACAGAAAATGTAAGAGGTGGAGATGATTGTTTAAACTTTTATTTTAGAATTCAAACTTTTGTATTTTAGTCTATTTCACAGAAAGTTTTACTCATTGTTTGATCAACGAGACTCGTCGCTGGCGTCGGTGGAAACATATTTAACTCTGCAGAATACGATCCTGTAATGAATGGAAGTTCAATCTTCGATTTGTCTGGATTATCAATGTCCAAATAAAACTCAATTCTAAATTGGAAGAAAGTTTAGAACTTAATATCTGACTCGGACAGACCTATATCCTTCCTAAAATGTTTACTAGCGAACTTGTCGGAATAAATTCCACAGTGGCCGCTTTAGGTACAAATGCCATAAGCATCATAAGCGGCTGGAAGATTAACGCACGCTTTTTGTACGTATGACGCCTGCCCAGGGCACGCCGACGCCCCACTCAAGCACAGGCCGAGAAGTGGGCGCAGACATGTCCCCCAAAGACGAATACAAACTCCTCAGAATGTTCAGATGAAAATGTTGCCTAAATTGACGAATTTTCACTCAAACTCGCGCCATAAAATGGGCCAAGTTCAACGCACTTGGATGCACGGAGAACTCTGAGCGAAAGAGAGTGAGAGGAAAACTGAGTGGGAGAGAGCGTAGAAAAGAGAGAGAAGCAGACTGATTACGTAACAATTGCTCAGACGCATGAGACACCAGGGGCTGCCAGGAACAACATTTCCGCTTTTGCGTGGTGGAATGTGGGCGTGGTGGCAGCAATGTCAGCCTGGATGTAGGCTTAACTACTCATTCGCATCCTCTGAAGCCCTTGGCGACACCCTCAACGGAAGTGGTCAACAACAGCTGTGCCTCCAACCATTTTCCTGCATGCCAACAGGAATTGAAAATCCCTCTCAAAATGTCAAAGGGAAATGAGATGGAAAATCATGAGTGTTTGACAAATAGATGAACGAAATGAGCGTCTATCTGTGCGGGAGTCACTGGTGTGACTCATGTCAGGAAACACTCATGTCTCCCATTGACACGTGTCTGATATTAAAATTCCTATTGGTTATGGATACCACTATGGGGGGTGTTGAGCCATTAGAATGTCCTTGAACCATCAGCCATATGCTTGGTTCTCAACTGTTGATCCAAGGCAGGCAACGTTGCGTATGAGCAATGTCTTGGCCATTGCGTGCTTTATGAGTGATAAGATGTAATTGCTGCTATACCCTTGGTAAGGATATTATGTTATGCCGCGCTGAAAATGTTCTCTAACCAAATTCCACCTACTTTTATGTCAGGTATTTTTTCACTGTTTTTTTTTCATAACTCAACTAACTTTGCTGAAAATCGAATTCATATATTGATATGCCATAGGAATGGTTTATCTTTTAGAGTATCCAAAGATTCAACTCCCAAGAGGTCGTTTTTCTCTTGTTATTCAGTGAAATGAAAACTTTAAGCGGTGCTTCAAGCATTCGTAACTTGTCACTTGGTGAAATGGCCCAATGGATGAGTGACTTGACGATTCACTGAGCCATCAAACAGGGCCGTCAATGAGATTGTTGAAAATTCATCAAAGCAAACAATTTAACTGGCTCTTTAATTTCACTGTACCTATCATTCGCTCTCTTAATTCACTTTTTTCATGGCCAAATTTTGCCCAACGTAATTCGTATTTACTGCTCCATGTCAGCCTGTCATGCCTGTCCGTCCGTCTACGCCTGAGCCGCAGTCAAGCGTGAGGCATGTGTCTGTGAAAGCTCAGAAATTAAGCAAAATCTACACACAAACATAAAAGAAGAAGCAAAATAGTCCCATTTGAATGTCAATGTCAAATTAAAGTCATACGCACTATTGATTAGGATTAATTAAACCCACTGACAACCTCTGATCTCATCTCATCACTGAGGCGAGAGGTTACTATGTAGAACTTTATGATTATGAGCAAAAATTCTTCTTGTGTGTGTGGAACTCATCATCACCTTGGCTTTGAATAAATACTGTTTCGGTATACACAACAAATATATCTGGTAAACAATTGGAAATAATTACTTTTAGAGAAGGGGGAAAAAAGTTTGTTTGTTTTGGTTAGATGGAGGAAACTAAAATATGTGGCAGTGAAAAAGAAATGACGCCAAAGGTGTTCAAGAATTTATTTAGAGTAATAAAACATTAATTTGTTTGTATCTTCAAAAGTGATTTTACCCCAATCAGTTAAATCAGAGCATACGTATATCGGAAATATTCACACATCAGAAACAAGCTTTCATTGGTGATTAGCACTCATATCTTTCCACTTCATGCAGCTTTTTCCATAAGGGAAAAATCCCTGTTCGCGGATTTATGAAATTCTTTCGCAAACAAAATCCACAACTCACTTCAATAAAAATTGTTTTACGAGCAGCATGAATAAACAAAAAAAAGCACAAATGCAGACATTTTTCGTTTTTTGATGGGCTATAGAGATGCTTTTACATGGGAGTTATAACGCGGCGAGTGCGCAATATTTAATTAAATTGAGTATACGCAGCGTTTCCCTTGGGTAAGCTCAAATGAGGCTCGGATGGAATGCAATTTGCCAACACCTTTAATGCCGCTAAAAATACTCATTAAAATTTAAAAGTAAACAGTGCTCTGGGATATCATTTTCAACCAGGGAAGGTCCTGCGTTCGCTCCGTGATATTCCTTTGCAGGCAGTCAACTTTGAATTTGTTTTATTTTAGTTATAATTTATTTTTTAGGAACTCGCTAGGTGCGTGTTCTATGCTCTATAATATTTGTGGACAATTAGGGAAAGTAATCTATTACCCGATACTCTTGTATTGTATTTATTTCCGGGAACTTAAGGGTATAGGTGTATCCGACTTGTGTGTACAAAGTTTTTGTGAGATATAAAATCAATATTTTAAAGACTCAATGGCGGGCCATCTTTAAAGAGTCCGCAGTGATAGTATCCAGCTTGGTGATGCCATTTTCCTTTACAACAAACACCTCAAAGTTGCGCATATTGAGAGTGAGACGCTCATGGACTGCTGCCACGCATTTCTTTAATACATTGTAGGCTGTCGGTTCATCAATATCCTGGGAATAGTACTTTTGAAGAATTGAGTTAAATAAGGGTAGGCCCAAGCCTTGGCCACTATGTGGAACGGAAATTAAGCCTCCAAACTCGTCGATTTGATACAATTGAGGACCCGCCTGCGTATCCCAGCCAGCAATCAGTGCGTAGACCCTGATTTCGAGATTGGCATGCACATTAGCATTTATCTGCTTGCCGGCAAAGTGAGCAATGCTCTTCACGGACAGACTTAGTCCATTATGTTGCACTCTATGCAAATCCATATATCTCGCGATGTAGTTTATAAAACGATGAGGGTCTCCTCCATCGCCCGCGGCAGCAATCATGGCAAAATCACTGATACGTTTTATCTTCGATTTGTCTGAAATATTGATACAAATATGTGTACACTCGTATGCCAAATCGTAATCACTCGAACTCACCTTGATCCAACATTAAAAGGCCTTTGCCTGCCACTGTGTCAGCGGAGAGTAGGACAAAGTCCCTGCCCTTTATTGCCAAAATCGTATCCATATCGTATCGGATTTAAACAAAATGGGGATAGTAAATAATATTGTATCGTGCTGAGCGAAAGTTCATATGTCATATCTGAATCGGCGAGGCCTCCTTAATATAATTTAAGCTTGGGAATTACTTTGAACGAAGAATATTTAATCAAATATAAAAGCTGCCCTCAAAGACAGTCGACTCCAGATCGTATATCTTCTCTACAGTCAGTCGAGACCTGTCCAATTCCTGCTCTTTCCCCCCAGCTCAGTAATTAAGACTCAGGCTTGTACATAACCGCAAGGATGAAGGGATGGTTGGGTTTCTTTGTGCGCAGCAGCTGTTGCATGGAATAAATAAAACTATACCCCATAATACCCTCTCTTCTTCAGCCTTCTCCGAGTGAGATTTGCAAGAAAACGTTTCCCAGCTCGGAGTGGCTGTGGATTTGCGGACTATAATTAAATTTTCGCATGCACAATAAACAACAATTTGCCGTTCACCATTTGAGTGAATCTGCTCGGCGCTTTTCCGGCCGAAAGTTGAGCTAAATTCCGATTGAGTGATAGTCTCAGCAGAGTCGTAAAATTCGCTCGGTGGGACTTCTCTTCGTCAGTCGGTCTTGAACTCTTGCGCAGCTCTGTTCGTCGTCGCTCACTTTTCTGTCCGCTTCTGTGTTCGTGTGCCGTGGAACGTGTGAGTGCCAGAGAGAGAGGTATAGAGAGAACCAACGAGAAGGAGGGAAAGTTCCTTTCACGTGCCTGCAGATAAACAATGCAGAAAAGGCATCAAAACAACAAAACAATATCGTGATATAGCCACAAAAATAATTGTGTTAAATTGCTTTTCTTTCATTGCATCAGGCAGCTACAACTACGGGCCGATTCGAGACACATATCAACTCCCAAACTCTTTACGTAAGTCCATAGAATAGAAAAAACATTTACACCTTATGACTAATTTTATATGACTGCTTTCGTATGTAGACTAAGACTTTGTTGTACTGTTTGGGGTAGAAAATCAATAGCTCGATTCCAAGTCTTATCCAGGGTGCACAGGATACACACAAATGCATGGAATGTACGAGTATCTTGGCAGCAGATGTTTTGTAGGGAATGGTGCTCCAACTAATGAAAAAGTCCCGAGTACAACGCTAGGGGTTTACAATATAACAACCCTTTATATTCGCCATTCAACCTTCCTTTCTGTCTGTATCATCATCAGCTGAGTGTTTGCATTCCTTCATGGTTTAGCAATCGCTTTCAAGGCTGTATTCTATGCCATTTAATGGGTCAACGTTGCCCGCAGTCAGCAGAATCGCTGGATAAATGTGTCTGGGCCATACGAGGGCGATTTATGACAGTTGATAAACAACGAGGGTGGAAATGGTTTGGGCTTTAATGAGGATTATGCAAATATTTTTGCGATTTGTTATTCATAAATATTGCTTTAAAGGGACTCTAATCTCTCCCGAGAATCCCCCAAGGACTCTTAGAGGCATATGCAACAGTTTTGTTGTCATTCTGTTGCTTCTGTAACGTCTGCGTTTTCTCATTTCAAATTCAAGACATAAGCAGCAGCCACGCTCAGCTCCGCGTAAATATTGTTCCAAAACAAAAATCAACAAACTGGATAAATTTGGGGACCCTCCACGCCACTGCCACTCCAGGGGAGCTCTTGAGTGCCTGGGGTTTGGTCAGGCTAATTGTTGTTAGCCTTGAACTTCCACCCTCCAACAAACAAACAAGAAAGATGCTCGCACTTTGCCGCATAGTGTGGTGCCTAACTTTGGGGGAGGCCATGTAGCCCCAGCCTTATTGTATCTCTGCAGAAATTGCCAACGGCTAAGCCGACCCTTAAATTGAAACGCTAAAACATTTTGCTAGTCGCAAACATTTCAAGGACTCAAAAAAAAACTCCCAGGACTCAAATCTGATGCTGCCCCACACGAACACGAAAACGCCCAGACATTGACATTGGCACGTGACGTTTCTCTGACGTTTTTAATTAAAAGCTGTCCAAATGCTGTGTACGCGTTTTCCCACTATTTCCTCCATGGTTTCCGGTTCGCTTTTGGACCTTCTCCGTGTGGCACGCATTTAAATGGTCTTAGCAGGGGCCCAAGAGTAGGCTTTACATTTAAAACACGCCTTCAATTTGCGCTGTGGCAGTGCCACAGTGCCAGCTATTAAAATTCCATTTTCATTTAATTTCTCTTTTACAGGGTCCCAGCGCAAGATGTCGTTGCTGCTCACCGGCCTGAGCAATTCCCTCTCCGAGGAGGAGCTGGATGAGTAAGTACATTACACCCCCGGAAACCCCACAACTAACCAATTTTGTGGCCCAAAATTAACTGCATGGCTTCCACTTTCCCAAGACAGAATTTTAAGTTTTTGCTTTGCATCACACGTACAAGTTTTCTGCCAAGAAACAAGAACAATGTTGAGGCCATAACTTACAACTTGGGCGACAATACCTGTCAGGTGGAACACAATAGAGTGGTGGCAATGGGAAGGATGGCGAACTACAGCCACGAAAACTTGTCAAAGAAGTTCCTTTTACCTGAATGTTAGTTCAAGCTGTTTTTAGTTGTTATTTATTGTATGTCCTACCCATATTCTGATGTTCCAAATCGCTCTACCAATTAGATATATTTCTACCCAAAATTTTTACGCTCCAAAAAGTATGCCTTGGAAAATTTATAAATTTCTCAAATATTTTTATGTTTAAAGCAAAAAGTATGCCACACTTCGCCACAAGAATTAGAGTTTTCCACGAGAATTTCAACTGAGGAACTGGCACAAGTCGATTTTTCCATGTTCGTTTTTTTTCTAATTAAGAAAATCCCCCTTGATGCCAGCAAAATCATTTCTAATTGATTTAAGCCTAACGCCATAATAGCCCAAAACACACGCAAATTGCCTTTAATTACTGGCCCATTCAGATATCGGCAAAGGTCTTATAAATAGATGTGTCCTCTGCCACTGCCTGCCACCAAATTTTCTACTGAATTATGACCTGCAGTTGAACGTAGGCGGACACAAGGCCGACGGGATATGATTGGGGTAGACGCAGCCACAGGCGTTTGCCTATCCCCTCCCAGGCCCACGCATTATCCGGAATTGTGGGTAGTGGGTGTTTTACTGGTATTACTCATACGCACAGTAGACAACAAAATAACAAAGAACCAATTATCGATTAGCCTTGGATTATCGTAGCCAGAGCAGATTGGACGCAGCCAGAGCCAGACCCCATTCCAGAGGCGTTCCCAGTGTCCTGTGAGTAATGCGATTTGGGATGAATACGATGACAGCATGACGTGACTTAGCAGACTTTTGCTTTCTCTTTGTCATTTTCCATTTCCCTCCCATTTCTTTGGGGAAAGTTATTTTCTCGAAGCCCCCTGCATTATATCCAGTATCATTTGCATTTCTCATTTTGCAAGCATCCACATTGTTGGCCTCTTGACTCCCCCTTTTGTTAATAATTACCCCAACGAGGTCTTATCGGTAGCCCAGCAGCCAGCGGCCAGCAGCCAGAAGCCCTTTATGGCTGTGTTCAGGGTAAGGAAGTGCAATTACGTTTTACACTTGGCAACAGGCGGTAGGAGAGGTCAGGTAAAGGTTGAAAATTGTGTGTGTGTGTAGTCCATAAGGAATATTATAGGATCCATTTAAAGCTCTCTGATTAATGGTTTGCGCCGTAACGTGACATGTGAGAAATTCATTCAAAGCTTTTTCACGACTCATAAGCTCCCAGAGGGTTTGTTCTCCCCCGCTCTGGGGTCACTTGTGGGCCATGGTAGGGATGGGCATTCATATATGTAGGGTTACACAAATAGATCAAGTTTTTCAGTTCAGGACAGGGCTGGTGGCTGCCACTGACATTTGTTGCTGCCACAGACAGTCGTCGTCAGAAAGCACTCAAGTAGAATGACCCAAAGGAAAGACTTGAAATGGTTTAGTTTCTGTCTTCTCTTCACACGAGACAGCGTATTTCCTCATTGAGACCCACTCTTAATCTCGATTCATTTGTTTTGCTAATGAGGTTTTCTTTTTCGTTATCCAAACAAATATTGAGAAAAACACTTGATGTACTTAGCTCGCTTTGCATTTGCTTGCATAAATAACGAGTTTTGTATGGCTTTAACGGCAGGCAAAGTCAATCAATGAACCAACCGTCGCGTCGGTTACGGAGAATTGGCCAAGTTAATTACGGTTGGTATTAACTGAATTCCAGCCTCCATTCACCTCTCTCCGCATTCCGCTCTTCGCTTCGCTTCGCAGCCATGCTATTGTGTTTTGTGGCGACCTCAAAAATTCACTTGCGAGCTGCGTCACGTAGCTTTCGGCATACCACTCTCTATCTCACTCTTTCTCTCTTTATCTCCACTCTTTTTCTCTGTCATATACATACATATGTACAAATATATATATATCAGATATTATCTATCTCGCTCTCTCCTTGTCTCTAACGAATGTCTGAGACCAGGCGAGCCCCCTTTTTTGCTTCGTTTTCATAGCTTTGTTTGCGCTTTTGCTCTTTTTGATATACCCTAGAAAGAGGTATTATAAGACAGAAGACACTTCTGTCCATATAAACTTTATATGACTCTATTAGACTCTAATAGACTCTAATCCTGTCAAATTCAATCTACATTTAATCTTATTTTTTTAATGTGTGTGTGGGTTTGTAAGCTGGGAAGTAGACGGTACCTAAGCCGTGTCTACCGTCTAATCGACAGCCTCTGTTAATTGCGATGGTGGATGATGACAGGCAGTTAATACTGACAAACATAAACTCTATTTATGGGTAACAAAAGGTACAGAAACTTCCGAGTCTATAAGAACAGGGAAAAATAGAATTGGAATTAATATTGAATTAATGTGGAATTAATACGATATTATTGTGCAATTGGGCAGTTGTGTTTTGTGAGGAGCGATCGCATCGCTAACAGAAATTGTATTGATACTGTGTCGTGTGTTATGAGGTCTCCCGTTAATTGGGTCAATGTTATTTATTCGATAAGTGTGTATTCCTTAATATTAATTATGCATCCTTTTAACGACTGAAAATGTAGCATTAAAGCATATATTTATATCTGAAAGGGTACCCAGAAGCCTCGGGCCCTAAGCTAGACTTTCTTTCTTTCAAGTTCCCTTTTATGCTTTGCCTTTTTATTATTTTTTGTGTATGTACATATGTATATTCACTAGCCTATGTGCTGGTATGTGTGCAGACATTGTGCTCCTCTTTGGTCTGTCTTTCGCTGTCGTGTGCTTATGTATATTTTATGACTTGGCTTGAATTTACCAAGAGTATGTACATATATGTACCTACCGAAAACGGATGACGCAGGGGCCAAGAGTAGGCCTGAGGGACTGACGACTGACTGGCCGTTGCAGAGCAGTTCTTTGAATGTTCATGATGAAATGAACATTTGGCAAATCCCTAGCTGAATAGATTACAAGAAATAGCAATACGATGTAAATATCATGAAACTTAACTTTTGTCGCAGATTAAATTGGATTTGACACTTCACATATGGTTTTTACTATTCTGCACACAAAATTTCACAATATGCTATGTATCGGTTTGTTTGATTCTCATTTGCAAATATCAGAGTTTAAAAACGTTAAGCGTATGCCGAACCTCCGAACCAGTTTATAGCTTAAATATATGCATAGCTTAAAAAATTCCGTACCAGCATTTGCATATATTAAGAATATAAAACTAATGGTCCGATCCGCTTAAATGTCGAGTGTCTGCCGCTCTGAGCACCCTGTAATAATGTATACATAGGGCACCTACAAATTGCAATGGGGATTACGCAAATTCGTTATGTTCTTGCTGCATTCTATAGCTGAGATAGCCAGCAATAAATTGCACTTGATCAGCGTCTGCTGCGGCTGCTGATTGTTATCAGTGAGAGAGAATTGACCGTGACCCCAAGAACGACACTTTTACATCATGTCATGTGGCATTTATTATCTGTGTAAGAAATGTGTAAATCAAAATGCGCACCCAACCACCCATAGTCGGCAGACAGAAATTCGTATAAATCATACTAGTCGTACCGGTTAGTTTTGGATAAACATCGTTTAATTTACTGAACAAGTTTGTTCGTTCACTTTTATTCAGTGAACTAAGTCGTTCTTTTAGTTCATCGTTCCTTTTTGTTCGTTCTTTTTTGTTCGTTCTCTTTTCAGCTCTGATTTCTATTTGTAAGCGTATGTGTAAATAAAGTACTACAATTTGTGGACGGTTTAAGTTCGAAAATTCATTTTAATTTGTACTTGGTACTCTTGATATCGTTTTAAGAGATTAAATTTTGTATGTTGATGTCATTCAAGCAAAGACGTTTTAATGCATGATGTATAATCGTGGATATAAATCTTTTCGATGTGCCCACCAGATCAAAGGGTCCTGCTTTCTATTCAGGTACTCCTACTCAGAAAAAAAGAACGATGAACAAAAAGGAACGAACAAAAAAGAACGAACGAAAAAGAACGAACAAAAAAGAACGAGCGAAAAAGAACGATTAAGATGAACTTATTCAGTTCGTTCATTTCAGTGAATAGTTTTTTTTTGTTCGTTCGTTCATAACGACCCAACGACCCGGTCTTAGTCGCTCGCTCGTCGAGAGAGTTTGGGACCGTACCAACCCTCGGTTAGCCCTCCAATATAAGACCCGGCGAAGCAGTGAACAATTTTTTAGTTTCGCTTGAAACGTTGACGTGTGTATATCGTTTATTTCGTGTTCCTGTTCGTGTTCGGGTATTCTGCCTTTTTGTGAGTGCGCTTTCATAAGTTTGTTAGTGGTTACAACGCTAAAGGCTAAAGGCTATAAGGACACGGTGACATCATGCCACCCACAATAACAGCCAATAAGTCGCATGACTTTAAGGCACACTACGATCTTGCCCACATGCAGGATGGAGAGACAGACGATGCATATGTGCTGAGAATAACGCGGTAAGGATGCAAACAAAAACAATACAACAAACCGGTTGGATTGGCATAGGTTCGAACAGCAGCTGCCGACCCGTTGGCAGGATTCGGGGGTTGTTTGTGGTCCTTGGCGGGCCGTTGAACCACCTGGTGACTCAGCCAAAGGATGCTCTGTGTAATGGAATGCGCAATGCAGTCTTTAGTTGGCACATAATGACACATCGCTTTGCTGGCACTCGGATGGTATCTGAGCAACGACACATAGAAAGCAGCGACTATCAGCCACATGCAAAGAGCCAAACGAGACACAGTTGGCCAAATATTTGCCCCCCAAACATTCTCCCTGCCTGTTCCGGCAGCCAATACCGATCCGGTTTCGATTGCCATCAATCAGAACGCGTCTGTTTTGTTGATAGACCCAACAACAAGCAATACATTATGATCGGATGTTTACTCAAGTACTTAGGAAATTGCTCATTTGTATACGTAGTACAAATAATTTTCTCTTATCAATCAAGGTCAAGTCTATGCCGAGATACTCTCAGATTATGTCACAAAATTTGTTTGCCATTTGTTTTGCTCACAGTTGGAACTTGCTTTTTTTTACACACATACACATATGAACATATGTATGTATTTTTTCGGCATTGACGCACTTGATAATGACTATCTGGGGGGGCGCGTTGGCAAATTTCGGGCCCCTGCTGGGTGACCTGGCTTCGAGTGTGGTCCGGGGGCTGATCCCCATACATTTTCATTGTGCAAAAATTGATTAGAGAAGTGAAATTCACTTTGTTTATTTCTCATGTACAGAAAAGATAGGCTCAGTCATCGGTTATAGGACATATGCACCGATTCGTAGCGTTTTTGTATGTAGCATCGATGACGAAATGTTTCCCTGAAAAGATTCATTAAACTACTGACGCTTTTCATTATCTACCATGCTCTTATTTCTCCGAAATATGTACATATATGTAGATAACATAATGTCAAATCAAAACACGAATTTTAATGAGTTTCGTTTCGCATTGGTTTCGTTTTATTAATAGACTTCCATTTGGTTAAAAGTTGACTGAGGCTCATACAAATATTAACTTGAGTATCTACTTTTGTGTACCCTATAATTAGTGGCCTGGAGTTTAATTTGTATGCCTCTCATTTACAGATACTCCGATGGAACTGTCAAGCTGCGAAACTCGAACATTGAGCTGATGGACCAGGATATTCTCTATCATCTGGCCTTGGGCAGTGAGAGTCATGATCTGCAGGAGATGTTTGGCGATGTTAAGGTGAGACAAACTTTGTACTCAAGCTGCGCATTATTCATACGAGTATGCGATCAGATAAGGTGGCATCAGCCCAGACCTAGACCCTGTTTTATTATCAGATCAAATGGAATTCACTTAATTATACGTTTCTGAACAAGATTAATAATGAAACCTGATAGTTCAGTCTATAGGGGAATGTCCCTTTATATTTTATATTTATTAACCTTTCTGAACTCTTTCTATTTTCACATAACGTTGACCAGTTCGTTTGCATGGGCGGAACACCAAAGCGTATGGAGAACTTTGCACACTTCATTATGGACGAGATAGGTTACAAGCTGCCCGCTGGCACCCAGCTGCAGGACATCAGTGCCTACTCGTATCGCTACTCGATGTACAAAGTTGGTCCGGTGCTTTGTGTCAGTCACGGCATGGGAACGCCCTCGGTCAGCATTCTGATGCACGAGATGATCAAGCTGATGTACCATGCCAAGTGCATTGATCCGATCTTCATACGCATCGGCACCTGTGGCGGCATCGGCGTGGAGGGCGGCACTGTCATCATCACCGAGGATGCCCTCGATGGTCAGCTTAGGAATTCCCATGAATTTGTAAGTACCTTAAAATTCCCATGACCCGATCGAACCGTAAATTACAGCACCATTTACTTTTGCAGACAATTCTGGGCGAGACCGTGCACCGTCCTGCAAAGTTGGACAAGAAGCTGGCCCGTGAACTGAAGTCGCTGCACAGTGCCGACGATCCCTATGACACCATCATCGGCAAGACCCAGTGCACAAATGATTTCTACGAGGGGCAGGGCCGTCTGGATGGCGCCTTCTGCGAGTTCACCGAGAACGACAAGATGGCCTATCTGGAGAAGCTGCGCGACCATGGTGTGGTCAACATCGAAATGGAGAGCACCATCTTCGCAGCCCTGACCCACCATGCCGGCATCAAGGCAGCCGTCGTCTGTGTGGCTCTGCTGAATCGTCTGAATGGCGATCAGGTGAATGCCCCCAAAGAGGTCATGCACGAGTGGCAGCAGGTGAGTGGTGAAAATCAAATCTAATTGAACTCCCCATGCTCAATCCATATCGGTTTCACCCTCAGCGCCCACAGATACTTGTGTCACGCTACATACGTAAGGTGCTGACCCGCGACGGCCAGCTGAAGAATCTGTTTGGGCATCAGGGATCGATAAAGTCGCCCCGTCGCTTCAAACTCGTCCAGCAGGAGTCCCAGGCCCACGAGTAGACATTTGAGAATACCTTCTCGCATCCGTTTCTCATCTCTCCAGTATACAATGGTGTTTCAACATTCCCTAGTTTAGCTCTGCCTAAGTTCCTAGCTTTATTTCTGTGTATATCAACCTCACTAGCTTATTTAACCCCAAGCATATTGTATGTATATTCATTTAGCACTAAAATGCTGAACTACGTTCCAACAAAATCGAATATCGTTTAATCAATCGTACGAGTACGAGTACAAGTATATATAAAATATATCACTAAAGGAGACGTTTAAAGGTTATCAAGAACAAACGAAATCGCAAAATGGTTTATCAAAAAGGAGAACGAAGCTAATAATAAAAAATAGATAAAATAAAATTGTTAATTGTTATGTTGCATATTTTACATGGAGCTAATCGATAAAATAAATAATAAATGGGTTCAAAAGCATACCATGAACCTAAAATAAAATTTCATAAATTATTCAATTTAACTGTATTGTAATTCCTAAACATTTGTTAAATGTAAATGTTGATTAATGTTGCTAACGTATCTCAAGCCTATATACCTACTGTATAACAAAACCGACAGTTTATCTTACTCTATCTAATTCTATCAATCTAAACAAAATCAACAACAACAAAATGCTGAACACAAACATAAATAAGCACTTAAAATGTATACAAGTTATATTGTAAAAACAAAAATTTACAACAAAAACCAAAAATAATGAATATTTCAACGGCATATTAAAAACAAATTGTATTTAATTGATACAAACTTTAAAATTTAATGGGGGGATTCATTCAGTTAGTCTAATACATTGTCCATACTGAGGCAGTATGAAACGCTGCAAGATTTTGTGTTATCTCTATTTATATTTATTTTTTTGTAGATAAAGTACGACCGGGGAATGAAGAAAAAGAACCAACATTCTGTAGATACATGACTTTTTACATGAATTCTACATCCAAATTCCACCCAAAAATATGCTATAAAATGGTATTTCCATATGATACATACTTTCAGGCTATTTTGGACCACTAACCACTAACCAAATCATGGAACAAAAACGTACCAACAGAATTGAAAGAGGGTGAACTCCCAGAGCCGAAGCCAGATTTGATAGAAATGTCCACAACTTATAGAACGAGACTACATATTATTGGGCCAGAATATCGTTCTTTTCCTTGGCTTTTTAAGCATTTTCGGAACATCCAACACAGCAACATGAACTAGATTTGCAGAATTAAGCCACTAACCATACAGTATTTAGATGTGTCAGTTCATTCAACGAAAGTGGCGCAACTGAGGTATCAGCGTACGGTCCCAGGTCTTGGGCTATAGGACCGACCGCGTTCGGCTAATGACGTGACACGAGCCGACTGACAGCAAGCATGTATGTACAAATCCTATTGAGGCGTTGGCAAGAGATTAATGACCCATGTTCCGCCGGTGTAAGTTCGCAATGAAAACCAAATTGATTAAAAACTAAATATTAAAGCTCAAGAAACATGAAGAACATGAAATATATGTTTTTATTTGAGTTTCGTTGTTTTTTTCAATATTCTAAAAAAAACACTGTTATTTCAGTGAACTGCAAATTTCATAGGTATCCGGCTTATGTCATGTAAAACAAAAAGATGGAACTCAAATGTGTGGATATTTCTTTGGTTTTCTAATGCTAACAGTCCGTTTTATTTAAAAAGGTACCACTTGTTCAATTTGGATAGCTGGAAGTGTCTCAAAGAGTGTTTTGATAGTGATGAGGTGCGGCACTACTATTTCAGTGAACACAGCTGTACGTGTGTACGTGTAACACTCCAAAATATCCCTGTAGTACTGGCGGTGGCGATTGACCCTGCCGAACTACCTACTTCGCTGGTCCGTAAATGGATACCCACCGAAGTAAACTTATGGTAAGCAAACGCCGAACCACTCAATGAGTACAAAATAATTTTACTCTGTATACTTTACAACCCACCACGTACCACCCAGCGAACTAGTTCGATGGGCTGCAGCGTCTCACCAGTAGACGAAAGAAACGAAAAGAAACGACACAAAAGAAGAAAGAAAGCAGCCGAAATTGAAGCTGCGCTGCGTCTACGGAGCAGAGCGCTGCTACGTTTTCGGTTTTTTATACCCGTACTCAAAAAAGAGTTAAGGGGTATATTAGATTTGTGGTAAAAGTGGATGTGTGTAACGCAGAAAAGGAAACGTTTCCGACCCCATAAAGTATATATATTCTTGATCAGCATCAATAGCCGAGTCGATAGAGCCATGTCTGTCTGTCCGTCTGTCTGTCTGTCTCTATGAGCGCCTAGATCTCAAAGACTATAAGAAATAGGGAAACCAAATTTGGTTTTCAGACTCATGTGATATCACACTGCTACAAGTGCACTAGTTTAATCGAAATCTTTCCAAACATACCCAAAAAACCATGGCACTATAATTTAAAATGGAATGCAAAAAGCATAAAGACAATAAACAGACTGATGACAGGACACACGTACGATAAAGCCTTTCTATACAAAATTAAAGCGATTGATTCGGATATCTGTGAGTCATGTAATGTCACAGAATCCGCTGAACATCTGCTTTTTAAATGCCAAATGCCGTCCGTCTTAGGGGTAAGTATCGAATTTTTAAATATTATAAGGATCTAAATGAACTCTTGATCAAAAAAGAGCCACTCCACCTCAGAGAATTGGCACAGTTTATAAAAAGCGCTAATATGGACTTTTAAGCATTTTGTGATAAATCATTTTAGATTAATAAAGTATAGGGAAATGACTTTTAACGCCTGTCAAGCTCGCTGACAGGAAGTCTGTGCAGGCCAAAAGGGGAGGCCTGCTATAAAAAACAAAAAAAAATATATATATATAAAAAAAAAATTACAAAAAAGATACAATTTTCACAAACAATAACTACTCGGAGGTTTTACACTCTTCGATCTCAAGATCTCACTAAACACATATTCTGGAGACACCCCTTGGGCCCATCAAGCGTCCGAAACTGAATAATCGGACAATAAGTCACACACCAGTACCTGATCAATGTGGCAACACAGCTGCGATCAAACCCCTGTCATCCATGCGATGATTTAATCAAAAAAAAAAAAAAATATATATATCTTGAATTTGTAGAACGTGACAGTAGTACTTAGTATTGATGAAAATAGTACAATTTTAAAATAATTTTTTTTTGGAAATAAGGCAACAAATTTTTGTGTTTGAATACGAAAATGGCAGGCAATTGCAATGCGAATCCATGCGACTTGAGTCGCGATGTTTGCCAGTTGAAGGGTAAGTAGAGTACAATCATAATAAGCAGTGTAAGCGAATAGATGGGTCCCACAGAACTGGTGACGACACAGGGCAAGCAGATTGGGCAGCTGGTCAGGCACATGAAGACGGGATGTAAAAAGCCGTCAAAGGAGAGCACTCTGAAGGGTCTGAATCCTTGCATCAAGTGCCTCCAGCCCGACGTTCTCTATCATCTGGGCATTGACACGGCCACAACGAACTTTCCCAAGACCTTCGGCGATGTGCGGGTAAGTCATATGATGATGATGATTTCGGTTGAGTGCTTTGAATCTGTAGTTTGTTTGCATGGGTGGCACGGCGGGACGAATGGAGAGATTTGCCTACAGGATTATGAAGGAGATCGGTCTGAAGCTGAACCCGGCCACAACCCTTAGGAATATGGCCGAGGACGGTCATCGCTTTGCGCTCTACAAAGTGGGCCCAGTGCTGTGTGCCAGTCATGGCATGGGGTGTCCGTCGGTTTCCATACTGCTGCATGAGCTCATCAAGATGATGCACCATGCCAAGTGTCAGGATCCCGTCTTTATCCGAATTGGTACCTGCGGCGGCATCGGAATAGAGCCCGGAACCGTGTGCATCACATCGGAGGCACTGGACAGCATGCTCAACCCATATTATGAGATAATAGTTCAGGGCAAAGTCGTGCAGCATAGCAGCAAACTAGACCAGTGTTTGATCAATGAGCTCCTGTCACTGGCCAATCCCTGCGAGGATGACTTTGATACAGTGGTTGGTAAGACCGTCTGCACCAACGACTTCTATGAGACTCAGACGCGACTCGATGGAGCCTTTTGCGACTACACGAACCAATCGAAGACCGCCTATCTTCAGGGACTCCAAAACCACGGAGTGATCAATTTCGATATGGAGAGCACCGCCTTTGCCGCTCTCACAAGTAGAGCAAATATACGTTCTGCCGTCGTCTCCATTGCCGTCATCAATCGTATGGAGGGTGATCAGGTCAGTCCGCAACCCCCCACCACCATTCATAATTAATTCTCTGATGATTCACATTAGGTAATTTCATCTCCGCAATCCCTAAGTGAGTGGGAGAAGCGACCCCAAGAGCTCGTGTCGCGATACATACGTAAAGTAATGCTCGGACCTGACGATGATAGCGATACCGATGACCAGCCCGATTCCAACCCATGCATAGGGGAATGATCTGAAACGCAGCGAAGCACGTTCGCGGCTATGGCACGTACAAGTTTTGACGCTTTCCAAGTGTTCAGTTTTCTGCGTGCACTCGACGCGATCGCAACGTCGTCCCGAGCAGTCAGTCGTTCAAGTGTGTGATTCCAAGTAGATGCCGAGCCCCTTATATTTCTGTGACTGAAATACTCAAATACATACATGCATATACGAATATATATACTCGAATTCGAGAACTATAAAAGATAACTACATATTGATTGCATATATTGGCGTGTGTGTCGTACAAGCTTTATGTTGGCTCTGAAAAAAAATAGATAAGATTGGCAACACGCTAGCAACAAGAAGGCCGGCAAAGAATAAACAAGACAAAAAATATTTCAAGATCATTGAAAGTGTTCATAGTTAGCCACTTGCCTTGACAGTGTTTGTTCTGATTTGCATATAAAGTTACATTTTGTTCTTCTGTTAGTACATACATACATACATCTCCTACAGACAATGTCACAAAAGTAAGACACAAGACGGACCGGCTACGAGTAATCACCGATATCTTAATGAGTGCAATTATGTCAACAGCATTCAATTGAAGAATCCCCACCTGGAAGACTTGGCATCCGATTATCTGTACCATCTGGCCATCAATGTAGCAGACACCAAGAACACCAGTGAGATTCAGAGGCAGTTTGGCGATGTAAGGGTAAGGATTGAGACAAACAATGGGAAGTCAGTCACTCTGGATGCCAACTCCACAGGTTATCTGCACGGGTGGAACCGCTATACGCATGCTGGAACTGGCCAAATATCTGCGAAAGCAGTTGGGTGTGCCGGGCACTAGCGATCCTGAGGATATAAGCGCCAAGGGACATCGCTACGCGCTCTACAAGGTGGGACCTGTGATCTGTGTCAGCCACGGTGTCGGCTCCTCCACCTTCAGTGTGGTGCTCCACGAGCTGCTGAAGCTGGTCCACTACGCCAAGTGCCACGATCCGGTCTTCCTGCGCATCGGCACCTGCGGCGGCATCGGTGTACCACCCGGCACGGTTGTCGTTACGAAGGACGCCTTCAACGGCTTGCTCCGCAACGAACACGAGATTGTAAGTGGGTCCATTGCACACTTTAGTTATTTATATTCAATTTGCTGGTTAGGCAATTCTCGGAGAGCGTGTGGTGCGACCCGCCCAGTTCACGGAGAGCGTGATCAGGGATATTCTGGCATATGGTGCCAGGACCGATGATGGTTTCCAAATCATAAGTGGCAACACCATGGGCACAGATTGCTTCTACGAGGGTGAGTGTGCGAGTGTCAAGTGGTTCAAAGAAATAGCCCATAACCATAACAATGCCCATTGGATTGACTTAGGTCAGGGTCGTACCGATGGCGCCATATGCGAGTATAGTGCCGAGGACAAGATGAAATTCTTGCACAAGTGTCATGACCTGGGCATACGCAACATCGAGATGGAGGCCAGCATGTTCGCCTCGGTCACCCAGAAGATTGGCGTGAAGGCTGGCGACATCTGTGTGACCTTACTCAACCGTCTTGACGGCGATCAGGTGAATTTCCGGCATATCATATCCCTAACCAAAGTTCACGAAACCAATGAATCATCCACAGGTCAACGCCGAAAAGAAGGAAGAGTTTGAGCACCGTCCCTTCCTCGTTGTGGGTCGCTACATTCAGGGACTCTTGAAGCAATAATGGGCCCGATACTATCTGCATGCCACAGTTTAATAACTCATAAATATGTATCTTAATAAATGTGTCAGCTAAATCTCCTGTATTAGCAGCTTGTTGCTGCTCTTGATATTGTCCTGGGGCATGCGCAGCATTGCTGGTAGTGTGGAGGCTTCACTTGTGAGTGGTTGTGTCTGGTTTTTAGGTGCGGAGGCAGTAGGAGCCTTGAATTTACTGCCCAAGGCCTCGGCTGCAGTAACCAATTTGCTTTTGACCACACGATTCGGCTTCACCAGCTCGGCCAGATCATATTCTTTGACAGGAGGTGGCTTCGCCACTGGAGTAGGCACATCTTTGGACTTTCCTTTCGGTTTGGCCGATGCATCTGGCTTCAGCTCCTCAATCATCAAACGGGTGGCATTGTTCGGAGCCAGCTCTCCGAGCTGATTATTTAGCAGCTCCAGGGCCTTTAAGGCAGCAGCATTATCCGGCTGCAGCTCTAGAACGCGCTGATAAAGATGAAGAGACTAAAGGAAGAGAATCATCAGAGAGCCATCATCAATTAAGGGACACTCTGATTACCTCACGGCGACTTCCTTGGGCATAGCTGGCATCAGCCAGGCGCAGACGAGCCTTCAGATTGTCCGGCTCCATTTCCAGACATGCCTTGCAGTCCGATATAGCGGCTAGATAGTTCTTCACTTTCATATCTATTGGAAGCAAATAAAAGCAAAATAAGTATATCTTGATCCTCGCTGAAACTTACGTGACACCGCGCGATTGTTGTAGGCCCGAGCTGCATTCTCAGGATCGTAGATAATGGCACAATTGTACTCTTCTATGGCACTTTCATACTCCTTCGACTTGAAGTATTCGTTGCCACGTAAACGATGCCTAAAATGAATCAGAACTCATCAGAAATCCGGAAAAAGGGTTCGATGTTACCCACTTTTCAGCGAACTGCTCCCGTTCCACCTGACTTAGTTTCTTTAGATGTTCCTGGAGACGTTCATAGAGGGCTTCCTTTTCACTCTTTATTACTTCTTCAGAGGTCTGCGTCGGCGTCGTCGTGGGGTCAGGTCGATTCTTTAGTTCCTCCTGCTCTTTGGTTCGCTCCTCCGTCAATTCCATGCGCAGTATTTCCTCGTCGGGGTCGTACTTGTCCCATTTGTTGTAGTCTGTTGAACGGATTCGCTTTTCCGTAGTCTTTGGTGGCTCTGGAGGTGCGCTAACTGGCTTTGATTGCTGCTTTGTGCTCGACATATCCGCGTCTATTTTGGCTGGTTTCCTCATGGGCGCCACTTCTAAGCCCAAGGATTCCATGTCATTTTTTAGGTCGTTCAATGCAGCATCCTTTGACTTGATGGCATGTGTCCAATCCTTCAAAGAAGATAATGGAACTCTAGATGCTTAATATCCCAATAACAGAAAGCTTCCGATACGTACCAGAATGGGCTTAAGTTCCTGTTTATCAAGGATATCGCTGTTCTGTATCGGCTCCTCATAGCGGAACAATTTACTGTCGGGCTTCAGCTCCTTGAGTTTCTCCTCGGAACAACGCTGCAGGTCCGGGAAATAACCCTCCTCCCCAGATCGTAGGATTTGCACAATTTTCTCCATTTCACGTGCATTTTTACACGTTTCCACATAACTAAGTGCAGGAGAGGTATGAGTGGTGATTCGTTTGCACTTTTTAATTATACAAACCGCATACCTAAAATCCAGATGGCTCAAGGGCATGTTATATTTCTCCAACAAAGTCTTGCGCTTTTCCATTTTAATCTTTTTCAATTTCTATTCGCAAAGAGAAATAAATATAAACTGTTCGTTTTACTGTTTGTTTGGAATCGACATTATCGATTCAACAGAATTTGCCTTACACCCGGCCTACTTGACAACACATGGTGTATACAATTTTTGTCGGCATTTAAAATTCGAAATTAACCGAAATGTTTGTTTTGATGCACAGCACTGGGGGTGAAATGCAGAACAAACCGCATTTGCCTGAAAATTGCGTTTTAGCAGCAGTCTGACAACAAGGTTCTATGGTGTAATGGTTAGCACTCTGGACTTTGAATCCAGCGATCCGAGTTCAAATCTCGGTAGAACCTGCATTTATGAAATGTTCTTTTTTTTACTTAATATTATTATTTACTTTGATTTTTCATCTTAATAATAATTTTTGGAGATACATTTTTCATCGTGGGAGTTTATGAAACTGAATTTGCTAAAATTTCGCGTTTATATATTCTTGCCTCTTGCGTCCACTTTTATTTAGATTAGCGGCAGCCGACAGCACGGTTCTATGGTGTAATGGTTAGCACTCTGGACTTTGAATCCAGCGATCCGAGTTCAAATCTCGGTAGAACCTTCAGTCGTCCATTCTAAATCCGGATTAACGATGTCGAAATATTTTATTAATTTTTTTCTCTGAGCAACAAGTTCATGTTATATAGCGTCGATAATGCAGTATTCTCTACTGATAATTACATAAAAACGTAGTTGCTATGTAGCAAATGTCTAGTTAACATGTACAAAATTAAATAAGTACATTCAACTAAACATTTGTGTACTATGTTTGTATTTCAACCATATACACAAAAGAAATGTAACTTTTAAAATGCAAAAAACATATTAATGTATATTTAATAACATTTTAAAGAGATTGCAATTACGTTTTCTTATTTAGCTGCAATTGCTTTCGTTCCATATTACAAAGAACATCGTAGATGCATCGCTTGGCCTCTAGAAGCAGATCGTCATTCAAGACTAGCAACTCTTTTGCAACAAACTGTGTAAATTGCTCTACAGATTTCTGTTTATGGCTCGAGGGATTGTCGCCCAGCTCCTTGCTAGTCTCCTCTGTCTCTTCAGAATCCGGCACGTAGCCTTTATAGTTGTCTGAATCATTATTACAAGCTTCATTAAATTCACTAAACTGCATTGGGCTCTGAACTGGGGAATATTCATCATCTGGCGGTGTGTGTTCTAAGAACTCATTAGAAGCCGAATCACTTGGGGGCTCTGGATGGATAGTAGGTACCTCTGCTGCCTCTTCTGTTGCTTTATCAAGGACCCAGCAGAAGGAACCATCAGAGTCGTTTCCATATTGTTCTTGCTGTTCTTCCAAAGGATCTGGGAACTGACTGGGGGACTCGGTTTTTGTTTCATTGGCGAACCAATCGTCGGAACTGCTGCTGGCATCGTTAGTTGTTTCAATAAGTATGCCGTTTAAAGGACCTACAACATCAACCAGCTTAGCATAGTGAATCCATTCTGATTTTGCTCCAAAGGTGTCATGTTCAGCTCTAAAATTGTATAGGAGTTTAATTAATATCGGAAATAAAAGGTTCTCGAATGCTCTCACTTAAATGTTCGCTTCAAAGATTCCACTTTTGCCTTAAAGTCCGAGGCGATCTTGTCCAAACCTACGCCATATTTCTGCAGCTCACTTCTCATAGCTCTATAGATATCCGCCTTCTTCTTTCCTTCTCCCAGCAAATCCCCCACATAGTTCTTCCACACTTCAATGAAAGTGACTTCCTCTTCAATGGTCCAATTCCTGCGTGGACGCTTGGGTTGTCTGAGTTTTCCCGCTTTGGTATATAGTGAACTCGGCTTGGAATTGGCAGCGTTGCTGGATTTCTGCTGTTTTGCTGGTGGCTGCGGTTGGCCCTCGCTCTTTTGCTTCTTTACCGGTGGCTCGTGGCAGACGTCGCTCGTTGAACTGCTGGATGGTGTGCAGTCTTCCTCGTCTAACAGCAATCCGCTGCACTCATCCACATAGACCTGGTTGAACGGTTTATCTAGGCTATTTGTTTTACTTGATCTGGTTTTTCTCGGCTGCTTAGCAATGGGCTCGTTGGAGTCGCCGCTCTCTTCCAACTCCTTAAATTGGCTTCCGAATATTGTATCCAGAGTTTTGTAGTGCCGCCATTTCCGTGTTTGCAACTTCTCGTCACCTTTTGCGATACTGTAGGTGAGGAAATCTTATAATCGATGGACCAGCGACCAACAAGAGAGTTGACTTACTTGAAATACTTCCGCTTGAAGGAGTCCATTTTCATCTTGATTCCCACGGCATTTATTTCAATGCCTTCGTATCGGAATTCGTCCTCCAGGAGACGGCAAATTTCCATTTGTTTCTTGCCGGCCCGGTACAGATCTAAATTTTCGGACCAGATGCGAATGAAGGTGTCCTCATCGGCGGGCATCCATTTGCGCTTGTTGGCCACTGTAGCGGAAATGTTAAATCTGCTTTTAGCATTACAAATTAAAATTTAAAATTACTTACTTTTTATATTTGTTTACAAAAAGATAGTGATGTCAAATACTCGATGTATTATATATCGATGTATATTTCAGGTATATCGGTATTTTTGTACGATAAGCAAAACCTATCAACGTTTTACGGAAGAAGAAGAAAAATGTCGGCAAACCGAAAGAAGAAGAACAAAGTCGTCAAAAAGGAAGAAGAAGACAAACACAAAAAACATCGATCAACTATCGCAACCAGATGTGTATCGATTTTAGTCGAGTGTCTGCAATGTTTCGGCGATATTCTTGTATATTTCGTAGTTCTTTTTGTTGGCTTTTATGTTCGGCGGTTCTTTTCCCCATAATTCGAGAAAGCACACCGTCGCTCTACAGGACCATTGAAGTTTGCCCATTAATATTTTGTAAACGTAAAAAAAAATCGAACAATATTTTGCGCCGGCTGCGCCGATGTGACCAAGTTCGAGAGGCAACAAAATGCTAAAAAAAAAAATGTACCAAGGCTGCGCCTGCGCGCTCTCTCTGCTCCTGCATTCACAAATCACTTTTTATATTTCCAGCAAAAATAAACGCAATGCAATGTATTTTGAATAAAATTACGTAAATACATAGTTTATTTGCAATGTTTAGTATAAGCTTTAAAACTTATTTACATGGTTGTGCAGCAAGCGATATAAGTATTTTAGTGTTGGGCATTACAAAATACATAATATGTAGGTACTTTTACATTAATAAATATGTATATCTCGTATGGTTTATATAGTAAATGTATGTATTTTTGTGTGGTGCACGCTTATTGCTTTAACAACATTTTTAACCATGCATTAAGGACACTCATTTTGCCTCCCATATCCTTATGGATGGACGCTTCTTCCCCGCAATTTCTTAATAAACTGTAGCCGTGCTCTTGCTTGCTTGATTGATGTGACTTCAAAATTGATTTTTGGTTTACTTAGTGCTAATTTGATTTGCTTAGGATCTACACAGGTGTGTGGGTGGTGTGCACTAAAGTAGATTACTTGAAAATCATAGATCATACGTATCGTATTATAGAATAAAGATTAGATTTTACATAAGCAGCATTCGATCTATTGTTACACCCAATAAGATGGATGTGTGTGTGTGGCGTGTTTTCATACTATTTCTGCATTAATAGGAACGTTACAGAGCAATACCAGCAGAAGAGGCCCGACTTATAATAAATAAATATACAATTGCAAAAAGTATATCGTTTACCTAAATTATGTTGGCTAACTTACACGTTTATATCACTTTTCGCAAATAATTCGTTTTCTTTAAATTAATTTGAGGCTTTCGAATGAATACAAATAATGGTAATAGTTATCATAATAATTAAATCGCGTTTTTGGTTGAATTCAATTTGAGTTTTCTGTTATTTTTGTTGTTGTTTTGCTTTTGCTTTAGCTTCAGGCCTACTTAAAAGATGTTGATCTGGAACTCGCTGACAATGCCCTCGAGGAAGTTCTTGAGGCTGTGGTAGGAGTGGCTGCGCCAGTAGATATTATCATTGACCTGCTCCATGGCCAGATTGATGGCCGTCTCGACGGCCCGCAGGCCCAGCTTGCGGCAATTGGCGGCCAAGTCCTGCAGCTGCTGCTTGTGGTACTCCTTGTTCATGTAGATGGTCAGGGACTTGATCATCTCGGAAAGCGTGGAGAAACCATCGCCATAGCTGTGGAAGATAGTATCACATATATCACATCATGTGAAATTAGAATATTTCTATTAATACTTACTATTCGGCAATCTCCTTGATGTTGCTCTGCAGGAAATCGAAGGCAATCTCATAGCCAATGGCATTGGAGGCCACGGCGCGGAAGGCCAGTGCGCCATCCTGCTTCATTATGCCCGATGTGGGATTGATGGTCATGTTGAGGTATCTGCGAGAAGATTCAAAAATTATCCATTTAATCTTATTCCCATTTAAGGCTAATTGTCTGCTACTCACTTGGACAGCAGCCAGGGCTTTGTGGTGCAGCCCAAGGAGGTGAGTATCTCCTCCTTTTCGGAGGCGCTTGTCGTTGTCTTGTATTGCTTGTAGGCGAAATACCATTCTGGATAGGAGCCCTCCGCCAGAGCCGTGCAGTAGATCACCGATTTCAGATTGGGTTTAATGCTAAAATGATAAGGAAAAAAGAGGATTAGCTTCAATTGGATATTCGTTTTCAGAAAATCGAAACTTACGGATTCTTTTTGGTATTCCGCATCCATTCGCGGAACTTGGACTGGGCCACCTGGGTGCATCGATCGTAGTTGAATTTGCAGGCGAAATTGGCCACCAGAGCGCGATGCTTGAGCTGCAGATGGGACTCGTTGTCGGGCTCATTCAGGCCATACTGATCGAAGGCGGGACGTACAACGAACTTCATAAAGGCCTAAGAGGAAAGGTGCATCCAGCATAGGTACAAAATAATTTTAAAGGGCGGAGAAGATGTCAACCGAAACTCACCCTGAAGGTCTCATAGGCTGGTTCCCGCTTCAGGTTGTAGATCAAATAGTTGAGTCCCGGCTTGGCAGCACTCCACAGCAGCTCATCATCTACGGAGGTGTACAGCTCCATGAGGAAGGTCAGACTACAGTAAGGGAAACATCAGTTAGAGAAGAGCAGCAATTGATGCCTTAGCGATCCAACGTACGGTATGTCGTAGGGCAGATACTCTGCCTGCGACAGATGGAGGGCATCGTCGAGCAGCTGCGCCCTCGTTATCCGTGGCAGGGTGCTGAAGTTCTTCTTGAGGGCCAGCCAAGAGATCATGTCGTAGTTGACGCGGTAGTAGCCCTGACGATTCAGATTCAAGTAGACGACACTGTCGTTGTTGCTGGCACTGTTGAACACATGGCTGACGATGAGCTCCTGCTCGTCCTCCTGGTTGGTCATCCAGTGCGTGGGAATGTTGTCGCCCTTGTGCAGCTCGTTCGTCTCGAAGGTGATGGGGATGAACCAGCGACTGTGATCCGCTGGATTGCGGGCGGGCAGCAGATATCGCTCCTGGCGGAGGACCAAGTCGGCGCCACGACGCTCCACATTGACCACCGGGTAGCCCGGCTGCGTTATCCACGAGTCCATTATCTGCTTGACGTTCAGTTCCTTCGGCAGAGTGCCCTTCTCGTGCCCGTGGCGGGTGAGGATCGCCCACAGATCGTTGCGGTCCATGTTCTCGTAGGCGAAGGTCTGCAGCAGATCCTGGGTGGCCGTGCGGAAGGCCTCATCCCCCACAATGGAGTTCAGCATGCGCAGCAGAATGGTGCCCTTGGAGTAGCTGATCGGATCGAAGATGCGGCGCACATCGTTGGTGGACTTGACGTCAAAGGAGATGGCATGCGAGGTGTTGTCCGCGTCGTGCTGCATCGACTCCTTGAACTCCATCATGGTGAAGGTGTCCATGATCTGGAACTCGGGATGGGCATGGTTCAGGGCCTTGTAGCTCATGTAGCAGGCGAAACCCTCCTTCAGCCAGAGATCATCCCACCACTTGGGCGTCACCAGATTGCCAAACCACTGGTGGGCCAGCTCATGGGCAATGATCTGCGCCACGTACTGCATGTGCTCCGACGAGGAGGCCAGCTCCAGGTCCTCTGGCACCAGCAGCGCCGAGTCGCGGAACGTGATCAGGCCCCAATTCTCCATCGCGGCAAAGCCAAAGTCCGGCACCGAGACCAGGTCGATCTTCGGCAGCTTGTTCTTGATCCCGAAGTACTCCTCGTAGTAGGGCAGGAACTTGCGCACCATCTTGTAGGCGTAGTGGGTCATGTCCACGAACGTGGGCCGCGTCCAGATCTCCACGCGCGGCATCACACTGCTGTCGAGAGCCGCGTAGCGGGAGTCCACCATATTGGAGACAATGAAGGCCACCAGATACGTGGGCATCTTGGGTGTGGTCAGGAAGTCATCTCTTATGAAGCCCGGCCGATAGGCACTGCTGTGGGACTTGGGCATGTTGGAGAGGGCCATTTTGTACTGGTTGTTGCGTACGATGCTGATGGAGAAGTTGGCTTTCATGTCGGGCCGGTCGAAGCAGGGAAAGGCGCGTCGCGCATCGATCGGCGAGAACTGTGTGCTGATCATCCATCTGCAAGAGGGGAGGGAAGTTCATCGATTATCCATGGAAGGATTATCCTTGTGGAGAGTGCTGCAATCACTTACTCTGGCTTCTTGGTGTCCGGATTGATGTAGCTGGTCTTGTAGACTCCCTGCAGGGTCTCCGTCACCTGGCTGACAAAGTCCAGACTCAGTAGCAGGCGAAACTTTAGCTCAGCGGCCAGGGACTTGTCCAGTCGGACGACAAATGTGGAATTATCCTCGCCATAGTCGCTGTCAAAGTCCAGTTCCAACTCATCGCTGCCGTTGGTGGTCTGGCCGGCAAGTGGCGCCCGGATCACACGCACATTGGCGATGCTCACGTTGTGCACGTCCAGCACAATGGGCTCCCAGCTACTCACCTTGGCCACGTCCCGTTCGATCTCGATGGTCAGGCTGCCGTTGTTGGACGATGTCACAATGTTTGGCTCAATCAGAAGGCTGCAAGAGGCGGACCAGAGATGGAAACGTATCATGAAAATAGCCCGGGAAATGCAATACGGATAGGAGGAAGTAGTAGTGTCTGCAGGTGAAATGCAAATGGCTGCCAAAAATGCCAAGTTGCAGCCGTCAAAAGTGCCAATCAATCAATCAATCAATCGGCAGTCAGAGAGCAGCGCCTGCACATGTGTTTGGCATCCATTTGAGGGCAATGCAATTCACACTGTGATCTGGCTTCGCTCGATGCCATTAGTCGCTGTGCTTGGCGGCAAATGAAATGCATGCCATGCCACATCATAAGCCGCAGCAGCAATCAAAGCAAACAAGAAGTGGGAACCAATCTGCTGCAGCCACCACGAAAATAGAATGCTCTATCGGTTGCTCTATCCATATCCTCCCAGATTCTACCTCCTATTACTACTTTTATGAGCCTTTCATTTCAAGCAAAACTCTCTGCTGATTAAGCTCTCGTGCTAATATGAGAGCAATACAAATAGATTGAAGATCAATTCCCTCGGCTCTCGCTCACACATGATGCCACAAATACCACAGACTAACTGGCAGATGCAGCCCCCGGGCCTGTTCTGTCGGCGACCCACTCTTCGCACTCCACTCCACTCCACCAGTTGGCAATCTGGAAGCCCCATGGGTGCTGGCTTTGCGCCTTGTTGCATTTAATTGAGGCGATTGGTTTGGTTTACAATGCGTGCGCCCGGGGCAACCAGGAAGCAAGCTTCGAGCCAGCAATTTGCCGTGGACACGAACAGAGAATGGGGGGAAGGGTTTGGGGGGGTTTCATGGAGAGATACCGGTCAAGAGTGTTGCCGTGATCAGCAGCTGCTGAATCAGTTACCATCGATTGGCGCAAAGAGAACTCTGCTGCACTTGCCGCAACATCCATCAGCCATCGAGCATCTCATCCCAGCTATATCGCGCATCTGCCCAGCTTTCCCATCTCTCGCATCTGATCGGAGTTGGAGGCTGCGTGCGGTGCACAAATTAATGCCCAGCTTGGGCTTTCTGTGTCAATTATACTATTAATGCATGCGGCTACTGGAGAGCAGAGCAGGCGCTGCTCCCATCTGCGCTCATCCATCTGGCAAAGCATCTTCTTTCCTATCTGGCGACCATCTATCCGGCCCGCGGTCCAAGTATCTGGCACATTATGTCATGCCGACAGTCGGCGTGCGTTTATTGTTTCCTCAGATCTATGCCGCTCCGCTTCGGTTTGGTTCCGCATCTTTTTCTCAGAGTGTGACTGCAGAGTAGGGGGGGGGGCCTAACGAGCCCCCAAACCTGACAACTCTCGGGCCAGCCATCTCCTGTGGTGTCTTGAACAAGTTGTTGGTTCATTAGTTACATGTGAAAAGCAGCTGGAAGACGAGCATAAGCAGTAGCTACTATGTAGTTCTTTGGTGTCCACTTTTGGTACACGGCTGCTGACTACTGAACTACATGACGTCTCAATCCTTGACCCACTTTTTGCGCAATAGAAATACAAAAAAAAATATACGTATACTTGTCCGTGTGTGGGGCAGTACATGACCCCAAGACTGACGTCAATGGGGAAAGACTGAAGGAGTCTACTTCCAGTCTCAGTTTCATTTGCAGTCGCTGTCAAGGATAAGGGAGACTATCCACTCATTTAATTTCTCATTGGCTTGCTACGCAAAGAAGAATTGCATCTTCCTCAGCTACTTATTGGTTGCAGTCAAAACAATGTAGAGAAATTAATCTCCGTCCTAGAATATAAATCTGTTCGCTTATGCCATGTAAAATATTTGATTACCCGTGGAATAATAAATGAGAGTAACTTTCCTGGATGCAAAATAATCGCCCTTGTAAAGATAATTTCATAGGAAAAACAATATGCATGCGATGCGAGTATATTTACTCCAACAAACTTCTTCTTGTCATATTAATGCCGCTGACAGGCCGTGTCTTAACTGGTCGAGATAGCATTGACACACAAAATGATCCAGATTGCAGTTAACTGTCAGCGGGAAGACATTTCCCTGATCGGATCAGTGTGGAGCCGGAAATGACAGAATACTGTTCGCTGGTTAGGTGGACGAGTGAAACGATTTGTGTGTCAGCTTCAAATCAAAAGGGGAACATGCAAAGCAATTTAAACAGAAGGCAGTCTCGTGTCTGGCTCTCCATTAAAAGCAATTGCGGCTATTAAGTGCTAAAGTGCTTGGATAGGTTTCACCCTTCACTCACCTGTAGTGCAGTGGACGCCAGCCCTCGTAGAGCTTGAGAGGACGATCTGTGGGCTTAGTGCTGTTATCGAGGACCTCCGTAGGCGGCTTTGGCACGGGTATGTCACCCACGGGCGGGGCCAGCGCCGTCTTCGTCTCCGTTTCCACAACGGGAGGCGGTGGTGGGGCCGTTGGCGTGTCCGGTGATGGTGAGGATTTGGGCGGGGCATTGAGGCTTAGCCATCCAGCTGTCTCAATGGGCGTGGCATTCACCTCGGGATGGTGAGCGGTGATGCAACTGTGAAAGAGGGCAAAGAGTTGCAAAGCAAACAAATCAATTCGGCTTCATTTATGCAAAGTGCTCCTCCGGTCACACCCACACCCACACCCCACACTCCAACTCGAATTTTTACCCTTCCGCACCTCGAAATGCGTCAGGCTCCTCCGAAGACGAGGCAGAAGCAGAGTCAGAAGCAGGGAGTAGGATGTGTAGGAGGCAGCAAAAGGAAACGCATAAATTGCTTTCACTTTCAAAAATGAGGTCATGTCGCGTTCGACTGCCAATTAGCACGCTTGCCAAAACGTTTAGCAGAATGCAAAACGAAGCAAATACCAAACGGACCAAATTAACCAAAGACCGCACCCATGAAACCCAAAACTGATTTGGATTTTGACTTGGGCCCCAGGCAGCAACATTACTCACCCGGGACTGGCTTCCGTTGGGGGGGAGAGGCCCTGCCGGGCCAAGAAGTAGGTGATGGCTATGGAGAAGAGCAACGCCACCACCATAATGAAGGCCGAGATGATCAGGCAGGCCCTGGAGACATACACGCCCGTTGGCGGTCCATTGAAAACGTACTTCTGTCCATTCTTAGTCTTGAGTTGACCGCCTGAAAGCAGAGCGAGAGAGAGAGAACTTTAGTGATCTATCAAATGCAGAGAGGTATAACTTTATTGGCTGTCAGAATTTTAACGCACACACAAATTTATGTTCATCGTTTTACGATCAGAGGGGGCATAAAGTTTATATTTTGTCCAATTAATTGAATGTTTTCAGTGCATTCAAAATTTGTTTATAGATTTCTTTGTTTCGATTTCCATTCGAAATGCCCGGCATGCCGATGCATCAAATCAATGGGCGTCCCATCCCAGCCTGTAAGCACATAATGGCAACATCAAACTGATTTATGGCATAATCTAGCCAAGAGCCGGGGGAGTGCGTGGAAATTAAAAAAAATGTTAACAGACCATTTAGCGGGGTGTCGACAACGTCATGAAGGAACCGGAACTCCTCCCCGAAGAGAGTCCCGACCCCCGCAGTTGGAAACCGTTAAACTTCTTTGCTCTTCTTTATGGCGAAAATTTCAAGTTGAGTGAAAATTAATGTTTGGCTCATTTCCTACAGCGAAACTGAGTGTAGAACAAGCCAAGAGGAGCCGACTTGGTCGGGCCTGGACGCATACTAATGATCACAGTGCTTAATAATAGTTTGCATATCGCTGGCAGATACTTGAATTTAATTTTTATTTTTATTTCGTAGATGGAAGATTAACTGGAATGCTTTTTTCATGAGATAACTGCAGGTGATGTAATTTCGAAAAGTATGCGTAGCACAGTGCTCGAAATAAGTGTGAGATCACCAGATAAGATGTTAAATACAAACATTCCATGGAAATGATAAGCAGAGAAAAACTGGCAATCACTTCAAGATGATAAGTAATACGGCGTATAGTTATGCGGAAGTAAACAATATCACACAGAACTTATCTGGAATCTAGCCATCATACACATACTTATGCCGCTCACTGTTGGCCAACGAACGGGAGCAAAAATAGCAGCACGTGCTGAGAATTTTCAATTACCCGATTACCATTTCTCGCTGGCCTTCAAAGAGAGAGGCCTCAAAACTGTTTATGATGTGTGCGCATGGCTCTTTTATAGGAAAGGCAATGGCAAAGGCAATGGCAAAGGCAAAGGCAAAGCCAAATGGGAAAGAAAAGCCCCCACAGAATGTCAGTGACTCGTTCGATGGATGGCTGCTTTTAATTAAATTTCACAAAGAGGTTCGAAACGTTTCGTGGAAAGGCGGCTGCCGTAACTTTCTAACACGCTTCCACCTGTTGCAATGCATCTGCGGTTCATCTAAGGGGGCAACCACATCCACATCTGCTCCCAGAACCACACACACACGCGCGCACAATCTTTTCTCTCCTGCCCCATCTGGCTTTGATCTTCGGCCACAGGGAAATGGAATTTATGTGGCATGCCCCGAAAATAAAATCCAACCAATGCAATGCACCACCACCTGCAGCTGTGAGCTGATTAGAGAGCCAAAAGATCGCGTGTTCGCCTTTGACGGAGTTCTGATAAATCAGTTGTCAAGAAATATAACTCAGTGATAGCCACGCCTTGCCTTGATTGCTCTGCCTGCTGAAAGCTTTTCACAATTTTCCCCCGTTTGTGTGTTTTCCCATTTCCCAGTTTTTACTTTTATTTATTGTTTGTTTAGTTTTGATCTCCAAAGAGTGGGAGGTGGTTAAAATTTAATTTTGATGAACACATGACGAACCTCTGGTCTCGTCTGGCTGTGTGCCTGGATTTGATCTTGTCGTGCCCCACCTGTGTGTGTGTGTGTGTGCTGCTTCCCCGTGTCTGATGCGTTTCTTCATTAACAGCGGGAACCTAAACACTCCATCCATCTCTGCCTCCGCCTCTATCTGATTCACATCCAGAGACATGCCGATTTAATATTCATAAGTCGAAGTTTAAGTAGCATCAAGCGACAATAAAACATTCAAATTAAGTTGCAGACGCCACAATTTGTGAATGAAGTGAAATTTACTAGGGTGCGTTGTGTCTGTGTGTGTGTTGTTTGTCTATACGTGTCTGCATGTGGGTGTCATGCGTGAGGCGCCACCAAACATTGGATCAAAACGCCCACGGGCATAGTTTGTTTTTGGGTCCCGACATTAATGTGGGAATGCCGAACCCGTAAAATTTAACAAAAATGGTTAATGAAAATGCTAATTCAAAAGGTTGGGATCATCTGGATTATATATGTAAAACCGAATCATCATGGAGATGTTCTTTTAATGATTGGATCACCATATCCACATTATGTAAGGGCAAGAATGGACAAATTCATTAAAGAAGAAACCTGTGAAAATAATCTAGTTTCTTTCTTGTATTTCTTTACTTCTTTTTCGAAGCCTTCGAACCTGAAAAATAATTAATATAAATTTGGAAACATACCCAAAAATCTGTCCTTTGATATATAATCGAAATGGAAACGTTTTCTAATATTTTTCGTATCATCAAATTTGAAATTACGCAATTTCGTAACGAATCCATGGAACGTACCTCCCCCAACCGTGGCGGAGGATGCGGATGCGGATGCGGATGCGGATGGTGCTGATGCTGCTGAAGATGAGGAGCAGGGTGGTTGTGGTGGTGATGATAATGAAGCTGAAGCGGAAGCGGGTGCTGCTGCTGTAGCTGTAGATTTGGATGTTGTGGTGGGCGCGTATATTGCAGATGCCATTAGGGGCATTTGTAGCTTGGGATTGGTATAGGATATGATGGCTGCATGGGATAAGAAGGAGTAGAAGAAAAAACAGATAGGAAGCTGAATTTAAAGCCAAATGAATTTGAAAGCAGGTGAAATGTTTTCATTATTATTATTAACATTAAATGGGGTGAAATGGGATGCGTGATTGATTGATTGATTGAATGCAAGCGAAATGAGCACAGAACGTGTGTAAATGTAAAGGAAAATTAAAAGCAAAAGTTAAACTATGGGATGTGTGTGTGTGTGTGTGTGTGTGTGTGAAATCAAATCAAATGGGAAAAGGCAATCGCTGAAGCAGAGCAGCAGCAGCAGCCATTCAGCCACGATTCAATTGAAAGACATTTAATCAAATTGACGCCACCGCTGCCACAGCGTGAGGGGTATGTGGTGTCTGTGGCATGGGGTAATGGGAATAGGAATGGTAATGGTAATGGTATGGGCCAATGGAGAAAGAAAATGCACGTGTCGCAGCAGGGGGCGGCTCGCTCTGGGCGGCTTCCCACTCTGCTGGCGCTATTTGTTCGATTGCCGATTGGCGGCGCCCGAATGTTTAAAATATGCTAAAAATACAGCCAAATGTGCAATTGTATATCAGATGAGCCTCTCGGCTGAGTGTGTGTCAGCGCCCCAGTGTTATTCAACTTTGGCAGATCAGATCGGCAACTGTTCTATAATTAGCTGGCTATAAGGAAATTTTTATACTCAAATGATTTTTGCACATTTATAGAAGAACAATAGTGGGGTGTCGAGAAAGAATCGACTTAAAGATGCCCTATCTGCAGATGGGAGTGTCTTAAACCGCTCAAGTTATTGGCATGCCAAAATGGCTAATCTCTCAAGATGATGTTTGCGTTTGGGTATTAACCTTTTATGTACACAATGTTTATACCACTAAATCGCTTATGTTACTCGAATTCATATGATTTCCATATTAATATTCATTTATTTTAGCACATTTCAACAACTCCTCAACATCAAAGTGATCTCCGGACTCGTTTCCGACATCCCAGACCAAAAACCAAAAACCACAACATGAATCATCCAATCAGTGGATCACTCAAATGGAATGAAATGCCCAGAGCCTACAGCCTACAGCCAACAGCCGACAGCCAACACCTTCTGCGCTGAATAGCGACCCCCTTGACCAGCCCGTCACAAAACCCATAGAGGTTTTATTATACCAGTTCTGGTTTTGGTGTGGTGTGGTTTGGTTTGCTTTTGCTGAGGGGCTATTAAACGAAATCGAACACGAAAACGAACGCAACTAAAGTGCGGCAACTGTTTGCATTTTGCACACACATATTTACACACAGTAGATCGTTTTACACGGAATTACTTTCGGTTTGTTGGATGATCGAATTACCCGCAGAAGGGGACGGACTGGTGTGGATGTGGATGTGGAGTGGTGTGAGTACTCCCCGTATCTTAATGACTCAATCATGCGTTAAATTCCACAAAAACATGGCTAAGCATGTATGTACATAAAACGAATACACACACACATATGTATAAATTTTTGTATGCTTTTACAAAAGTTCAATAACAGCAAACGAAATTATTTGATTATTCGACTTTGAACTTGGGAATTGCTTTTGGGAAACGAAAGGAAGTTGATCACATTTTTGGTTTAGCAATATGAGATAGCAAGAGAAAAATAATATGTCGAGAATATTTTAAATGTTGCTATTTCTCGAACCCCTTGAGAATTGGTTCTGAAAAGTGCCTATCAAAATTCCCTTAAAATATTTTTCGTACATATTTTAAAGCGTGATTTAAACAAAGAGAAATACAGCTCTACAAAGTTATTTCCCTTATGGGACTTCAGTGCTTATAAAAAGTTGTAAATTATTCAATTTCTCTTGTGCAATTTTATAAATTTTCGTAGGTTTTATTTTCACATTTGTTCCAAATATGACACAATTTTGATTTAATTTTATCAATGTGTACAAATAAATGAGATAAAATTTCGCAGTCCCTTAGGGAATTTCATTAATCAAATATTTGTTTCCATTTATTTATAGACGGGTAAATATGGTGGAATATTTATGCTGCTTACGCAAAGATAAAAAATCAAAATATATATTTTACAATTATAAGTAGAACTCGTACAACAAATGTTTTATTGTGAAAGACCCCTTGAGGGACACATGAATTCTTATCGGTAGGTTCCCCCCGCCACCTTAGGTGTACACTCGCTTGACACTTAATTGGAAAGAAATTGTCGCATTTACGTCATCAAACTGCTTTCCTCTGTCACCGCCCGTCCGTTCCCGTTGCTTTTTCCATTCCCATTATGTGGAGTTCGTTCCCATATCTTATCAG